AAGTTCTTTGAGAATGGAATACATGCTTTCTTTGTTCTTCCAGAACTTAGCATGACTCCTGCCTCATTGGCATTCTTCAACCAAGACTTCAAAACCAATGGGTTAGTAATTGTAGAATCCACAATATATTAATATTAATGTAAATTATTAAAATGGCTACTTTCTAAATTATTAAGTAAAATGGCTATTTTTAAGATGTAATATAAAATTATATTTGAGACTTTTCTTGCTTCTTGAGGCAGGCTTATAATGCTATGAACTTCCTTCTCAGGACTGCTTTCACCGTGTCCCATAGACTTGGGGATGTTGTGTGTTTATTTTCATTTAATTCCAGGTAATTTTTTTAAATTTCTTCCTTGATCTCCTTGGTAACCCATTCACTATTTAATAACATGCTAGTTAGCCTCCAGGTATTTTTTTTTTTACTGTAGTTGATTTCTAGTTTCATGCCACTGCAATCCAAGATGCTTGGTATTTCAATCTTCTTAAATTTGTTAAGACTTATTTTGTGTCCTAACATGTGATCTATCTTTGAGAATGTTCTGTACACACTTGAGAAGAATGAATATTCTGCTGCTTTGGGATGAAATGTTCTGTAAATATCAATTAAATCTATCTGATCCAGTGTGTTTTCTTGCTGATATTTTGTCTGGAAGATCTATCCAGTGATGTTAATGGGGTGATAAGTTCCCTACTATAATTATACTAGACACCCAGTGCACGAATTAATGCACCGGTGGGGTCCCTTGGCCTGGCCTGCACCCACTTGCAATCTGGACCCCTCAGGAGATGTTGGATAGCCAGTTTTGGCCCAATCCTGATCCAGACAGGAGGGAGCCCAATCCTGTGCGTTGAGCATCTGTAATTTAGTGGTCAGTGTGGATCATAGCATCCTTCCAAATAGCTGATTCTACTCTGCTTCATTCAGCCTACTTTTAATCCCATCCTGTGTAATTTTTATACCAGACATGGAATTCTTCATTTCTGGCTATTTCTTATTCCTGGTTTCTATGTCCTTTTTCAGGCTGATGTAGTTCCCATTAAGTTCCTTGTTGTTCTCACTAAGTTCCGTAGGCACCTTATAAACATTACTCTGAACTCTGTGTCTGATAAATAGCTTGCCTCCATTTCATTTAGCTGTTTTTTTGGAGATTCCTTTTCTTTCATTTGGGAACTGTTTCTTTGTCTCCTAATTTTAACTGTCTCTGTGTTTATTTCTATATATTAGATAGAAACTGTTATGACTCCCATTTTTTGTGCAGTGGCCTCATGTAGTAAGTGCCTTATGTGACTCAGTGATGTAGTCTTTTGATCTCCTGAGCTGGCTGTTCTAGATTCCTTCCCCTTTGTGTGGGTTACTTGGGCTCTCCTCTTGTAATTAGGTCCTAAATGTTGTTGCCCCATTCATGGGTGGGATTCTCCCCTAAAGCTGGCTGACTGTGAGGCTCAGCCCTGACCAATCATGAGAACTGCTGTGCAAGTGCAGTCTCAAGATGGTTTCTGCCCTTCCTTGTTTTTTAAGTCTCCACTTCCGCTAGTCTTCAGTTGGTAATTCAAGGTGAATGTTACCGAATTTAGTTTTCTTTAAAAAAAAAATAATAATACTAATAATAAATATATATATATATATATATATATATATATATATATATATTATTATTGATTTCAGAGAGGGAGAGAGAAATAGAAACATCAGTAATGCAAGAGAATCATTGACCGCTGCCTCCTGCACGCCTCCTACTGGGGATCGAGCATGTGCCCTGACTGGGAATCAAACCGTGACCTCCTGGTTCATAGGTCGACTCAAACCACTGAGTCACACCAACCAGGCTCCCAATTTAGTTTTATTTCCAATTTGGTTCTGGGAGGAAGTGCAAGAAAGATCCACCTACTCTGTTGCCATCAGGAAACACTGTAATAGAAAGTTATAACCATAAGCAAGCATCCATTAAAAAACAAATATTTAACAAAGACTGTTTGGCTATCTAAACAATTACAATACTGGTTTGCTCTCTATTTTAATGCCTGCCACACCTCACTATGAAACAAGATATATCCACTAATTTTTTTTCTCAAATTCTATACCAACTAAGTAGCAACATTAATGATTATACTGAGTTTTTTCACATTTCAGTATGTACATAAGAAGTTTATTCTTTACATACAATATCTCATTTAATATTCCAACTCTGTTCCCCCAGACTATTACTGTATTCTGATTTTGATTATTAGGAAACTAAAAACCAAAAAGGTTAAATAAAATTGTCCAAGGATATATAATACGATAGAGAACAATCAAGATTACTGAGAGAATATCTAAGGTTAAAAGCACTCACAGTTTTACTAAGGTTTTATCAAACCATCTTTCTTTATTCTAAGGGGAAATAAGATCAGTGCAATTGTGAGACAAGCTATTGCTCAGATGAGGTGCTAGATTTCAACCTTGTGGCTGCCTGCTTCCGTATAAGTTGCTCTTTCCTTCCACTCTGGTAACTTTTTAAAAATTATATTTTTACTTAGAATATGATATCATAAGAATTAAATTTGAGAAGTAAAAGGAAAAACATTATCTATAATCTTACTCATCCTAACCTAACACTTTTAAAATATCATTTTCTAATATTAGAAGCACAGTACGCCTGACTGGTTTGGTTCAATGGAGAGAGTGTTGGCCTGCGGACTGAGGGGTCCCAGGTTCGATTCCAGTCAAGGGCGTGTACTTTGGTTGCAGGCATATCCCCAGTGGAAGGTGTGCAGGAGGCAGCTGATTAATGTTTCTCTCTCATCAATGTTTCTAACTCTCTATCCCTCTCCCTTACTCTCTGTAAAAAAGTCAATAAAGAATATATTTTTTTTTAAAAAAGCACAATACATGCATATCAATTCAAAAATCTACCTCCAACTTTTATTAGCTGTGTGGCCTTTGCTTAACTGCTTTACTGCCATTACAAAAATTTTCTCACTTGGTCATTCATCCAATAAACATTATCAAGTACCAAATATGCACCAGACACTATTCTAGATGCTTCGGGTACCTCACTGAAATAGAGACAAAAATCCCTTATTTTAGGAGAAGCCTATCTTCTAGTGGAGAGACACAAAATACCGTAAGATATATAAATAGTGGGTAATAAGTACTGAAGAAAGAGAGAGAGGTTGCAATTTATATATCGAGGTCAGAGTAAGCCTCAGTAAGGAGGCAACAGTTGAGCCAAGACTTGGAAGTCAGGGAGTTCAACTTGCAGATATCTGGGAGAAGAGCCAGTAAAAACCCTAGAGCATGAGTGTCCTGTATACAAGGGAATACCAAAAAGATCATGGAGTTCAGTGAACTGAGAGTACCGTTGGGGGCAGGGGAGACAATGCAGATAACACACTGCACTGTAAGGGCTTTGCCTTTTATTGAGTGAAACAAAAAAGCCATGGAAAGGTTCTGACCAAAGCAGACAAGGATTGGTCCAGCTGCTTTTTGCAAATAAACCACATAGAAAATAGATATAGAATTATGAAGTCTGGGTTGAAGAATTAAATGTAAAAAAAAAAGAGATAATACCTCACTGAGTTATGAAAGTTGTTCAAAAATGTCTGTAAGGCACTTAGCATTGTGCCTGACACATAGAAAATTACCCTATATAATAAAGACCTAATATTGCTAATTAGACTTGGCAGAATGATCTCCCAAAAGGCCTTCCAGAAAGACCAGTGGGCAGGGCCATGGGGTTGGGAGGCAGCAGGGGCTGTGAGGGCCAAGTCAGCCAAGGATGGGAGGGCTGAGCCCATTGCATGCATGAATTTCATGCATCGGGCCTCTGGTATTGTTTTACCTTCTGATCTACACAAGGACACCTAGCATAGAAAATGAAACAGGACAGAAATTCAGCCACGTGCCCTGTATATAGATACCATTAGCTTGGAGGAAAGGCTTTCTCCTAATTAACATGAAGTGGGCAGTCCTGCTAGCTGAGCCATGGATCTTTCTTTCACTATTTGGAAATGGTGCCTTTGGGGCTAGTGTCACATTAATAATCCTTGTCCATATGTATGCACAATTGCTTTCCCAATCCAAATCCTATGCTCCATTATTCTTCCTATATAATTTTAAATATTTGACAATTGTTTGCCTAATCATACTCAATTGTGTTGGATGTAATTTATTATTACCTATGCTTACCTATTGCCACATATTTTTATATTTTTTTCAAATTTTTAAATTTCTGAAATCACCTTATTTGTCCGAACAGAGAACCTGAAATAAACACAGGAATATAGACATTGTGCTTCACACCCTAGGCTTGGGATTACTGGGTCGAAAGGTTAAGAATTATGTATGAGTGCTGCTACTGTCATATTTTTAACACTTTAAAACTGGATTTGGGTAAATTTTTGTTTTTAAAATAAGCTTGTTTTCTAAAAGCAATTGGTTGCTATCTATTTTCTCTGATCTTTTTTTAGGGGGAGAGGGTGGTGGTAAAGGGGAGGTTTAATCCGGAAAAGGCAAGTTGTGATACTACTTCATTTTCTTAGAAGACAGAGTTCTAAAAGTATAGAAAAGGGTAAAGATACAGATTGATAAAGGCAACCAGTGGGTGTAACGTTTTTAAAAAATATATATTTTATTGATTTTTTACAGAGAGGAAGAGAGAGGGATAGAGAGTTAGAAACATCGATGAGAGCCAAGACCGGTTTGGCTCAGTGGATAGAGCGTCGGCTTGGGGACTGGGGGGTCCCGGGTTCGATTCCGGTCAAGGGCATGTGCCTTGGTTGCACACACATCCCCAGGGGGGGGGGGGGGTGCAAGAGGCAGCTGATTGATGGTTCTCTCTCATCGATGTTTCTAGCTCTCTATCTCTCTCTCTCTTCCTCTCTGTATAAAATCAATAAAATATATTTAAAAAAAAAGAAAAAAAGGGCTCTCGTGGAGGCAGCTAGCGCGAGGCTGGGGAGCTCGGAGCCTCGCGTCGTGCCCTGCGCTGCCCAGACTAGCGAACAATACAGTCAGGATGGCTAAAGGTGATCCCAAGAAGCCAAAGGGCAAGATGTCTGCTTACGCCTTCTTTGTGCAGACATGCAGAGAGGTACATAAGAAGAAAAACCCAGAAGTTCCTGTCAATTTTGCAGAATTTTCTAAGAAGTGCTCTGAAAGGTGGAAGACAATGTCGGCCAAAGAGAAATCTAAGTTTGATGAGATGGCAAAGGCAGATAAAGTACGCTATGATCGGGAAATGAAGGATTACGGACCAGCTAAGGGAGGCAAGAAGAAGAAGGACCCGAATGCCCCCAAAAGGCCACCGTCTGGATTTTTCCTTTTCTGCTCCGAATTCCGCCCCAAGATTAAATCCACAAACCCTGGGATTCCTATTGGCGATGTGGCAAAGAAGCTGGGCGAGATGTGGAATAACCTAAGTGACAGCGAAAAGCAGCCTTACAACAAGGCTGCCAAACTGAAGGAGAAGTATGAGAAGGATGTCGCCGACTATAAGTCCAAAGGCAAGTTCGATGGTGCAAAGGGTCCCGCTAAAGTTGCCCGGAAAAAGGTGGAAGAAGAAGATGAAGAAGAGGAGGAGGAAGAGGAGGAGGAGGAAGAAGAGGAGGAGGAGGAGGAGGATGAATAAAAAAACTGTTTATCTGTCTCCTTGTGAATACCTTAGTGTAGGGGAGCGCCGTAATTGACACAGCTTATTTGAGAGGTGTCTGTTGCCCTCAGTAGGATTAATTACACAATTGGATCATGATCATATGTAGTCTCTCAAAGTGCTCTAGCAATTGTCAGTGGTTTACATGAAGTGGCCATGGGTGTCTAGGGCACCCAGAAACTGTATCAAAGTTGTACATATTTCCAAACATTTTTAAAAATGACAAGGCTCTCGTGTTCTCCTCACTCTGTGCACTTTGCTGTTTTGGTGTAACAAGGCATTTACAGATGTTTCTGGCATTTTCTTTCTTTCTTTTTTTTTTTAATCTGTAAGGTGGTGTTACCTCTTTGGTTATTGGCTAGAAATCCTGAGTTCTCAACTGTACATATCTATAGTTTGTAAAAAACAAACAACCAAGACAAGCTCTTGATGCTCTTTGCTTGGCGTTGAGGCTGTGAGGAAGATGCCTTTTGGAGGGGCTGTAGCTCAGGGCGTGCACTGTGAGGCTGGACCTGTGGACACTGCAGTGGGCATCCATTTAGCTTCAGGTTGTCTTGTTTTTGTATATAGTGATATAGCATCCTGCCATTCTTAGCTGTGGAAAAAGGGGGGTCAGCTGGCATGAGAAGTCTTTGGATCGTTTTTTAGTTGTGTGGTAGTTTTAAACTTTGCTTTAAAACAAGCTACAACTCTTCATTGTCAACAAGGTGAAGAGTCCCTGCATCAGTGAAAGTTCAAGAACCCTTCTGTACTACACACACATTTGCAACGTTTTGTTAATTTTTGTATGTTTAGAATGCTGAAATGTTTTTGAAGTTAAATAAAAACAGTATTACGTTTTTAAAAAAAAAAAAAAGAAACATTGATCAGCTGCTTCCTGCACACCCCCTATTAGGGATGTTCCTGCAACCAAGGTACATGCCCTTGACCGGAATTGAACCTGGGACCTCTCAGCCCGCAGACCGAAGCTCTAGCCACAGAGCCAAACCAGTTTTGGCAGGGGTGTAACTTTTATAAGAATTTCACATCAGGTCAGCTTTTCATCAGCAGGGTAAATGAGATTATTTTGTATTCTTCATCTCAGCAGCCTAATTTCCAGGAGCTCTCTGAAATGTTTTTTTTTTTAATTTTTCTATTATTATTATTATTATTATTATTATTATTATTTTAATCCAGGAATCCAGGAGGTCACTGGTTCAATTCCTGGTCAAGCCCGGATTGCAGGCTCAATCCTCAATAGGGGGCTTGCAGGAGGCAGCCAATCGATATTTCTATATCTCTTTCCCCCTTCCTCTGAAATCAATAAAAACATATTTAAAAATTTTTTTAATCCAACCATTTTAACCTAATCCTAGCCAATCTTCATCATCCCTTGCCTATTCCATCTATTCCACTATGTTTCACTCCGAATCTCTCTAAATCTATCCTTATCATCTTAAAACACAAACCTGTTATTTTTCCTCCTAAAATCCTCCATAGGTTCTCCATCCCACTCAAAATAAAACCCCAATATTTTTTAAAAAAATTATTTCTATCTTTATTGTTCAGATTATTATAGTTGTTCCTCCCCCCCCCCCCCCCCGAGCTCCCCTCCACCTGGTTCTCACCCTACCCCATGCCCTTACCCCCTCCCCCACTGTCCTCATCCATAGGTGTATGATTTTTGTCCAGTCTCTTCACACACCCCCCACACTCCTTTCCCCCTGAAGATTATCAGTCCACTCCCTTTCTATGCCCCTGATTCCATTATATTCACCAGATTATTCTATTCATCAGTTAGATTCACTGTTAATAAGTATTTGTTGTTCATAATTTTTATTTTTACCTTTTTCTTCTTCCTCTTCTTAAAGAATACCTTTCAGCATTTCATATAATATTGGTTGGGTGGTGCTTTTAGCTTTCTCTTATCTGTGAAGCTCTTTATCTGCCCTTCAATTCTGAGTGATAGTTTTGATGGGTAGAGTAATCTTGGTTGTAGGTTCTTGCTATTCATCACTTTGAACATTTCTTGCTACTCCCGTTTGGCCAGCATAGTTTCTGTTGAGAAATCAGCTGATAGTCGTATGGGTGCTCCCTTGTGGGTAACAAACTTTTTTTCTCTTGCTGCTTTTAATATTCTGTCTTTTGTTCTTGATATTTTATGATGTGTCTTGGGGTGGTCCTCTTTGGATTCCTTTTGTTTGGGGTTCTCTGTGTTTCCTAGACTTGTAAGTTTCTTTCTTTCACTAGGTGGGAGAAGTTTTCTGTCATTATTTCTACAAATAGATTTTCAGTATCTTGCTCTCTCTCTTCTTCTGGCACCCCCATAATTCTGATGTTGGTGTGCTTGAAGTTGTCCCAGAAGCTCCTTACACTATCTCATATTTCTGGATTTTTTCTTTTTACTTTTTCAGTTGGGTGTTTTTTTGCTTCTTTGTATTTTAAATCTTTGACTTGATTCTTGTGGTCCTCTGGTCTGTTGTTGGATCTCTGTATATTATTTTTTATTTCAGTCAGTATATGCTTGATTTTTTATTTCAGTCAGTATATGCTTGATTTCTTTTTCATATCCTCGAGGGTCTCACTAAATTTATCGGCAGTTTCTAGAAAATTCTTGAAAAACCTTATAACTGTGGTTTTGAACTCTATATCCCATAGTTTGCTTTCCTCCATTTCTTTCATTTGTGACCTGTTTCTTTGTCTCCACATTTTGGCTGCTTCCCTGAGTTGATAAGAGTGGCTTTGTGTGCTAGGTGTCTACAGGACCCAATGGCTCAGCCTCCCCAGTTACCTGAGGTGGACACTCTTGGTGCACCCCTTTGTGGTCTGTGTGCACAGTTTTGTTGTTAAGCCTTGATTGTTGTTGGTATCGCTGGGAGGAATTGACCTCTAGGCCAAGTGTCTACGATGGGAGAACTTCTGTGCTGGAGACACCCTTATGAGGCAAGACTTGCTTCAGTGGGGCTTTGGTGCTCACTGAGTCTGCCCCCTGAGTGTGTCCCTTATGGATCTGAGGATTTGTAATCTGGATGGTCCTACTCTGACCCCTGGGTACACTGGCTCTTGGATCTCCAAGGAGGTACTAATTTAGTTTCTGCCTGAGGCCAACCAGCAGGAGCTATGGAGAGATCTGCAGATTCCTCTTTGTTTGGGTTTTGGAGGTGCCCAGATGAGGCCCAACTGTGAAGCAATGCAAGCTGCTATAGGGCCTTAGACCTACTTTTAAATGCTCTGGATCTCTCTGACTTAACTGCAGTTTGATAGGTAAGTTTAGATTTCAAAGGATCAGGCCTTTCATATGCAAAAGCCTCTGCCACAGCTTGGATGGGGCAGAGTCTCAGGGCAGAGCAAACAGCAACGGCTTCCCATCAGCCCTGCCCTAAAAGGCCCCCAGGTCTCAATGTCCCTTGGTAATCGCTGCAAGCATCTCTGAGAAAAGCTGCCCTTGAGTTCCACCTGATGCCAGACAGTCCATCCCCCCCTCTCCCCCCCCGTATAAGTCTGGGTCCCCAGAATCTTGACCAGAACTGGAGTTCAGAGCAGTTGGGAGCTTGTCTCTCCCTGGGAATTAAAAAAGCCAGCCATGTACTCAGTCGCCAGACCCTTCCTGCACACACACACACACACACACACACACACACGCCTCCGTATCTTTGGACTTTACTTCCACAGATCCTCTGAGTCTCAGTATGCTTTTTTCTTCCCTTCTAGTTGTAGAATTTCCACTCATCCGGCCTTCCTGTGGTTCTGGGTGATGTCTGTTTTGTCTTTTAATTGTAGTTTTGAAGTTGTTGTGTGAGGCAGCAAGTTCAGGTGTTTACCTAAGCCGCCATCTTGATTTCACCCCAAAACCCCAATTCTTTAACTATGACCTACAAGGCCTTACACAATGACCTGGCCTCTATCTTCCTTTTCCACCTTATCTCCTACCCCTCTCTCATGCTCACTTTATTTCTGTCATACTGACCTTCTTGTTGTTAGTTCACTTCTTATCAATCATGCTTCTACTCAAAAGTCACCTCTCAAAAGGGAGCTCCTAGACCAACCTGCCCCTACCCATCATTCTTTTCTCTTTACTCAGCTTTATGGTCTTCATAATACTTTGAAGTTATATTAAATATCTGCCTAATCAGTGTTTATTGTCCCCTACCCCACTAGACAATATGCTCCAAGAAGCTAAATTCATTTCACCCTTATAACCTCTTTGCCTTTAACAATGTTTAGAATACAGTAGGTCCTTGAGATATTTCCTGAATGAATAACAAAACAATGTCACTTGGGTCCAATGAATGCTGCACTCTAACAGAAATCTTCAGTGCAATCATTTAGGAATCACCCTTATACTAAGAGACTACACTCTAGAATCAGAACACTAACAACTGCAGAATTCTAAAATTGTACAATCAGCATTTTACAACTGTTGACTGGCAGTCAGCTAAATAGTCTTACAAGAACTCATCAGAACAGAGCCCAGGCAAAAACCAGCTAGCTGACAATACCCAACTGAAGCCATTATGGAATTATTATATTGATGTTATTTCCAAAGTTTGACTTATTATATAATATTGTTTGGTCTTTCCCTCCATAGTTTGTGTGTGTGTGTGTGTGTGTGTGTGTGTGTGTGTGTGTGTGTGTTTTAATAAAACTAAGCACCACTTCTGTTCACCTGGTTCTGTCACATGAAATTGTAAACATTTCCCACCTACACACACACATATTCAATCTGTCCTAAATATAGAACGCTGAAAATAAAAAGTGAAAGTGGTTTTAAACCACAGTAACCCTACCAAAGAAAGTAGAAATGTGTTTTTAAACATGCATAAGGTCATGTGCAATCCAAAAGAATGTATAGAAAGAGAAGCATTCTTTAGAGGTGATTGTTCAGTTTAAAGAAAATACAATAATTCCCAAGTATTTGGAGTGCATGTTTCAAAAACAAACACACACACACACACACACACACACACACACACACACCAAGAATGTTGTCAGCATTATGC